GATATTTTCAAAATATTGTTAAATTTAGGAAGTAGTTCTATCTATTTTGAACAGGAAGATTCTCTTCATTTAAAATTAATTCCACTAACTCCACTCTGGTATGTGATTAGATGAAAATACACTTACAATTTGAAATCTGACATAATAAAAATATTGCTTCCAAAAGCAAGCATTCTGCTAGATATAAAACAAAGTTTAGCAAGGAGCAAAGGACACTTTAAAAGCTAGAGGATCCCATTTACGAATTAAGAGTTCTTTAGGCAGGAGGCTCAGATAATTTTTCTCAAAAAAATATTTGCTGAATACTGGGAATGTGGCAGGCTTTTTTCTAAGCATTTGGTTCACTAATTCATTTTAGTGAACCCAAATATTTCTACCCTGGTAGAACTTACAGGCCAGAGTGGCAGGCGAAAAGTAGTGCTAGAAAAAAAAAGATGTATATACTATTATGTAGCAATAAATGCTATGTAATGAAAATGCTCTCAATTGGCATTATTGAATTAAAGAATTTCCAGACAAAGGGAAGGAGCACAGCCTTAAAACTGCAATAATGTCAATCTCCATAACAGAAAATATTTTACGTTTTCAAGTCACGAAAATACAATTAATCATCTTAGGCTTCAAAAAAGGAAATTGAGGCTGTTTCTGATGATTATGTGAAAAAAGGTAATAGCTGTGCATTACCCAGGTGATTAATTCAGGACCTAATTTATCTTGTATGTTGTATGCATGCAAAGTTTGGGTCTAAATGGAATTCAAATAGAGGCTCTTAAATGTAAGAATTCTGGAATTGTTCAAAAATACATGATGACATTGACACAAACATGCCCCAAATTATGCAAAAACCCTAAAGTAAATCAATCAATTTCATTAAAATTTATATTAAATCCATTTGTATTGCTTTAACAGTGACCTGTTTAGTTGGCGGTTTGCCCTCACAAAGTCCATTAAATGCAATCACAGCATGGTGCTGGAGCCCAGGGATTCGTAGTTTTTGTTGTGAGGTATTAATGAACCATGAAGATAATACTAGACACCTAAAGTTTAAGTACCATGAGATTTCCTAAATATAGAGGAAATGAATCAGCAAAATAAAAAGGTAAAATAAGAATAAAAATTCAACATTTAGAAATTGTCTCTAAAATGTCTGAAATCCTTTTCAGCACAGTGTGGTAGCATTTCCTCCAACACAAGTTCTACCTAAACGACATCACTGGGCGCTCCCATGTGTCTGCCTAATGCACAGAGCCTCCCGGCTATCACAACGGTAATCATACCCTGCTGTAACTACGTGTTTAGTGTTTGCCTTTCTGGTGGACCTCATAAAACTTGAGTGTTGTGCCATATTTGTTTTTTGGCATAGATTAGGCTGTACCTTAAACTGTGTTTTGTTAGAAACATTGTCCTTGACCTCTCTTACTAGGGTACATTAGCTTGTTAATCACTCTAAGAGCAGCCTACATTTTTTGTTTGTTTAAGCACATATGCTAATTAAAATTATGTATTAATTTTTGTTTTTTTGTTTATTGTCTGTTATCCCATGCGCCATGGGACCAGAAATTACATTTATGTTCTGTTCTGCTTTATTCTCAATGCCTGGTACAGTGCCGGGAGTCAGTGCTCAACAAACGTTTGTGTCATCAGTCATTATATGCTCAATAAATGTGAATTAAATATATCAATGACTTTCTAACTTTTTTTGCATGAAGCCTTTTATTTCAATATCATATGCAGCACTATAAATTTATACATTATATAATTTCTATACATAATTTATAAGCTATATAAATTTATGAATTATATGTTATATATTTATAAATTATATAAAATATGTATGTACATATATACAATAAATCATATTCAGTAAGAAAAAGAAAATGAACTCAACTTAAAAATGGGCCAAATACCTAATGAGATATTTCATTAAAAAGATATTCAAAAATGACCAATAAATATATAAAAAGTTGATCTCAGAAAAAAACAAATTAAAAGCTATAATGAAAGAACTGGCTAAAACAAAACAGAATGATTACAAATTAAATGACTTCCTATGTTAAATATTTATGTAAATACAAAGAAAATTAAATTTTCATACATTGCTGCTAGGAATGTAAAATTATATAACAATTTTGGACAACTGTTTAGAAGTTTCTGATTAAATATATGCATATTTTATGGTTCAGTGATTCCCTTTTTATGTGTATATCCAAGATAAATGAGTGCATATGCCAACAAAAGTGGCTGTAGGAGAATGTTCCTAGTGTCGATTATTTAAAATAGTAAAAAACTAGAAACAATCTAAATACCTATTAACAGGTAAATTGATTAACAAACTGTAGGATAGTCACACAATGGGTTATCATTTAGCAATTTACAAAAACTAATTCCTGTAGCACACAATAAATGAATGAGTCTCAAAAATATTGTATTACACGAAAGAATAAAAACATACAAACAAAACTATAAGAAATACATATAAATACAAAGTTCGAAAACAAGAAAAACAATTCATGTTTTAGAAAAAAATAATGGTTGCCTTTGCAATGGGGAAAAGTTTTATAAACTTGGAATATGTATCAGGTATATGCATAAAAATATTCTCTATCTTGGTCTGGATGATGGTTACCCTGCTGTGCAGACACGTAAAAAGTTACATTAGCTTAACTAATGGGTATGACATACATATCTTATTCTTCCAAAAGAAAAATAATGATAAGAAAAACTGATGAAGAGTAAGATAATGGAATTTTCCTTGTCAGATAATAAGATTTTTGTTAATGGTTGAGTTATCAGTATAAGAAAAGAGATATAAATCAATGGAACACAAGAGAGAGCAGAGAAATAGCCTCACTCGTGTATACATACTTTTCTTATGAAAGAGACAGTATTTCCAATCACTGAGGAGAGGATGGAATTTTCAACTAATGGTGACTGCACAGTTGATTCCCCATGGAAGAAAGAATGGGAGGGAGGGAGGAAAAATGTATCCCTGCCTCAGATCCTATTCAAAAACGATTATCAACTAGATTATAAAGTTAAAGAAAAGCAAAAACAACAACAAAATAAAACAGAAAAAAACTTTAAAGTCTTTACAAATCTATTATTTATATGGTGTTTACCCCATCAAGCATTGTGTGCTGCTAAGCACTTCTCAAGTGCTTTATATTGATTTACTCACACAATCTTCACAGCAATCAACTTAATGAGAAATATACTACTATTATCCTCATTTTACAAGTGAAAAAATAAGGCATAGAGGATTTATTTATCTTCTTTTGCTGAATAACTGCAAATTTATTAGCTTAAAAATAACATCAATTTATTGGTGCTTTTATGTTTTGTTTTTAACTGGGCCTGGAAAAGTTTTGGATTGGTCCTTTGTTAGGGGCCAAGAAATAAATGTGGAAATATTTAATGTACAATTTGAACTTTTTTCTTACTATTGGTTTATGCAAGTGTTCTGTTTCTTGTTATATGTTAACCAATATTTGAATTTTTTTCATAAAATATCATCATATATTCTTTTTCACATTTATTTCAAAAGGATTGTCCTTAGTAGTCACTTATAATTTTGTAAATCTCCTCTGGATCTAAAATTAGGTAACCCCTTTAATATGTCCCTTGGTGGTGTATTACCTGCTTCTCTATAATTTCCTTAATTATACTTATCAAATTTGTTTGATTTTTCTGGCATTTTGAAAGCACTAGCATTTGTTCTACTTGTGAACTTCACTGTATGCCTGTCATGATATCTTGTCAGCTGCTTTTACCTTTGTTATATTATCCCTCTATTATTTTTTATTTATTTACATCATTCTTCTTTTCTTTATGTAATTCAATTAAAATTGAAATATTTTTATTTGTAATAAATGCATTTAATGTTGAGTACCAGTTTGTTGTTATGTCATAGGTTTTGATATTTCTCTCATTGACCTTCAATTCTAAGTAGTATATAATTTTTATTTTTTTCCTCTTAAATATAACATAAAAAATTTTCTATTCTTATCAATTAGAGGCTACAGAAATTGTCATTTTTGTTGATTTATAAATTTATTATACAATGGTCAGTAAATATGCCCTAAATGGTAACTTTTGGAATTTGCTAATATTTCCTATTTAGCTTAATATATGATCAATATTTGAATAATTTGTTTGAAAAGAATCTATCTTTCTAAGTAAATTTTGCATTGTTTAATTCAAATTTCCTATATTCTTACTTTAGTTTCTGTTTTTTTTTGTTGTTGTTTTTTTTTTTTTGAGACAGAGTCTCACTTTTGTTGCCCAGGCTAGAGTGAGTGCCGTGGCGTAGCTCACAGCAACCTCAAACTCCTGGGCTCAAGTGGTCCTCCTGCCTCAGCCTCCCAAGTAGCTGGGACTACAGGCATGCACCACCATGCCCAGCTAATTTTTTTGTATATATACTTTTAGTTGGTCAATTAATTTCTTTCTATTTTTAGTAGAGACGGGGTCTCGCTCAGGCTGGTTTTGAACTCCTGACCTCGAGCAATCCGCCCGCCTCAACCTCCCAGAGTGCTAGGATTACAGGCGTGAGCCACCGCGCCCGGCTTAGTTTCTGTTTTATTTATTCTTTTATTTAGCAAATATTTATTGTTGTGTATCAAAAGGCAGGCACTTTTCTAGCAATTAGGAATGCAATTTATATTCTAATGAAGTGAATCAGACAAGCAAATATGTAAATGTATGGATTGTGAGATTATTATAAATATCATGGTGGAAAATAAAGTAAACAATGTGGAAAGCAAGTATACAGTGGTAGACTTGGGGTGTCAAATTTGCCAGAGCCTTGCAGTGATTAGATGCAGAAAATGAGAAATGATCTTGAGTTTTTTTACTTTTATATATATATATATTTTTTTTAATTTATATAAATAATGATATAGAAGATTATGAGATTAGGCCTCATGAGTTTTTAAACTGTTTGTGGTGATGAAGATTTAGTATTATTACATCTACTTCCTGGATTCCACTTATCAATATGAACTATCTCTTTTTCCTGATAATGTTTTGAATTTTATGATTAGAGTTATTCTCTAATTGGTTAGTATTATCACATCTCCTGTTCTCAGCTATCATCGGCTTAGTACATTGTTCTCTATTGTGAGTTCACATAATTCACGCATAGTGATCACGTATTTCTCTTATAAAAAACACAGTCCTGATTTCAGTATTTTTAATCCACCCTGAGAGTCTCTATCTTTAATAGTTGAGTCTACTAGTACATTCTGGTGGGTGTCTCCCCATATCCATTATGCCCTTCATCCTATCCAACAATACCCCAAAGATGTCATGCCTGTGGTTTGGGTGGGGTTGACCCTACCTCTACCTGTAAAGATGGAGTCAGAGAGGTTTATGTGATTGATTCAGAGATGGCTCAAAATAAAAAAGAGGACTGGTAGGAATAATAAGATTTTGGATTAAAAGAATGAGATTTTCTTTTTGTATGTTAAAAAGGCACAATTACCCTCAGGAGTTGTGAGATCGTGTTGGGGCCATGTGAGGAGGTTACAGCGGAGAGTGGAGACAACCCCAAAGAAACAGAATGGGAGCACTGAAAAAGCAAGAAATGAGATCCTGTGTATATCATTTAGGCCTTTTTTGTACTTAAATGAAAAATATACAGTTGACATGTTTAATTATTTCTTTTAAATGATATATAACTTTACAATTGTATTTGATGTCATTTATTTGTTTGTCAGATTGGATCAATCTGGGGCCTTTGGGAGGGGTGAGGGAGATAGAAAACATAAAAAGAAAAAATACACTAATCAATATACTCAGTGACTCTCATATAATGTAAATACAAATATATTTACAATTTTTCCTGCTACTTTATTGTATGTTTTGTTCTTTATATTTTTAATTGCTTCTTTTACTCTATATTATCCTGGATTATTTTTACTTGTAGTATACATACAGCCAATTCTTTTTGTTAAATCTCTGTGAGTAGTGAAACTTCTGGGTCCTAGAATGATTTAGAACATCTTTACCTTACTTCAAATTTTTGTTTTACATGGCATGTCTTTTCAGTGTAATTTTCTCTCAACAAAACAAAGATATTCTATTGAGTTTTAGCATCTGAATTTGATAATTAAATTTGTGATTCTTATTTGCACATATCTTTTTTTTTTTTCTGCAAGCCTTTAATGGGAAGTGTTTAATTTGCTTTTCTTGGCACTTAGTGGACTCTTAATTTTAATACATGTTTTTCTTCAATTATGTGAAATTTCCCTGTACCATTCCTTACAGTGGTTCTTTACCTTTTTACTTTTTCCATTCTTTCTGCCTAAACTCCCCCTATGAAGACATTCAGATTTATGAATTGATTCTCTAAATTCTATAAATTTTTATTCACATTTCCATTCATTCATTCATTTTTATGCTGCATTATTAGTAAGTTAATCATATGGCTTTCCAACTTATTTATGCTACACTGGGCTGTATTTATTATTCAAACTATCAATAAAAGTTTTTATCTTTGAAATAATACATATCTTTAAGTAACATGTTTATATATATGTATATACACACATATAAAATATATATGTATATTATTTCCAAGGACAAATTTATTTTTTAAGGTTTTATTTTAAATTTACAAATAACAGTTGCATATATTTGTGGGGTACAATGTGGTGTTTTGATACATGTACACATTGTGGATGATCAAATTAAGTTAATCAACATCATCTCTAAGATTTATCATTTCTTTGTAGTGAGAAGATTTAAAATGCAATCTTTCAGCTATTTCGAAATATATGTACATTATCATTAACTACAGCCCCTGCTGTGCAGTAGACCCCAGCTCACTCCTCATGTCTAGCTGAAACACTGTGCCCTGGACCAGCCTCACTCCTGTCCAAGTTCCCCGCATCCCTCAGACTCTGGTAACTGTTATTCTACTCTCTACTTCTATGAGTTAAACTTCCTTAGATTTAATCTATAAGTGAGGTCATACAGCATTTATCTCTGTGCCTGGCTCATTTCACTTAGCATAATAATGTTTCTAGGTTCATCCATGTTGTCACAAATGACCTAATTTCCTGCATTTTTAAATGATGAATAGTATTCTATTATGTAGCTATATCACATTTTAGAAATCTACTTATCTGTTCATAGACACTTAAGTTGATTTTGTATCCTAGTTATTGTGAATAATGTTGCAATGAACATGGGATACAGACATTTCTTCAACATACTTATTTCAAATCCTTTGGGTATATAACCAGAAGTAGGATTGCTGGATTATATGATAATCCTATTTTTAGTTTTTTGAGGAAATTCCATATTGTTTTACAAAATGCCTATACTAATTTACAATACCACAATAGTGTACAAGACTTTACTTTTCTCCCCAGTCTTGACAACACTTGTTATCTTTCATCTTTTTGATAATAGCCAATCTAACAGGTATAAGGTGATATCTCATTGGTGGTTTTAAATTGTATTTCTCTTATGATTAGAGATATTGAGCATTTTTTCATATACCTGCTGGCCATTTATATATCTTCTTTTGATAAATGCCTATTCAGGTCTTTTGCCTATTTATTTATTTATTTAATTTCACAGACTGCCTATGTTTTAAATTAGAGTTATTTGTTTTCTTGTTATTTTGTAGATTGAGTTCCTTATATAATTTGGATGTTAGTCTCATATTCGATGAATGATTTATAAATATTTTCTCTCAATCAGTGGATTGTACCTTCACTATGATAATTGTTTCCTTTGGTATATAGAGCTTTTTAGTTTAATGTAATCCTATTCATCTACTTTTGCCTGTGCTTTTGGGGTCACACTCAAAAACCACTACCTATACCAATGTCATGGAGCTTTTCCCCTATGTTTTCTTCTAGTACTTATACAGTATCATGTCTTATATTTAAGTATTTAATCCATTTGGAATTGATTCTTATGCAAGGGGTGAAATAAATCTATTTTTATTCTTCTGCATGTGAATATCTAGTTTTCTCAACACCACTTATGGAAGAGACTGCCTTTTCTCCATTGTGTGTTTTTGGCACCTTTGTCAAAAATCAATTGACTATAGATATGTAGGTTTATTTCCAGGCTCTTTATTTTTATTCTATTGGTTGATGTATCTGCTTTTATGCCAGTGCCATGCTGTTTTGGTTGTATAGCTTTGTAATATCTTTAAAATCTGATAGTATGATGTCCTCATCTTTGTTCTTTTTAGTCAAGAGGGCTTTGGTTATTCAGTCTTTTGTGTTCCATACAAATATTAGGATTTTATTTCTGTTTCTATGGAAAAAAAATTGGAATTTTGATAGGATTATGCTGAATCTGTAGATCACTTTGCATAGTATATTGTACCAATATTAAATCTTTTAATGAACAAATATGTTATATCTTTCCATTTATTTGTTACTTCAATTTATTTTATCAATATTTTATAGTTTTCAGTATATAGATATTTTACTTCATTGGATAAATTTACTCTGGTATTTTTTGATGTCATTGTAAATGAAAAAGTTTTCTCAATTTCTTTCTCAGCTAGTTCATTGTTAGTGTATAGACACGCTACTGCTCTTTGTTAGTTGATTTTATATCCTGACACTTTACTGAATTCCTTTATCATTATTTTTAATTTCATCATATTATGAGGATACAAATATTGTTAAGGTTACATATTTTGCCCTTGCCACCCCCACCCCCTGCTGAGTCAGAGCTCCCAGCCTGTCCATCCCCCAGGTGGTGTACTTTGCACTCATCATGTAAGTATACACCCATCCTCTCCTCCCCCTCCCCGACACCCAATAAATTTTGGGGTTTTTTTTGACATTTTGGTTACGTTTTATATCTTTGCCTCTCCCTAGGAAGGATTAGAGGTATGCCCTTCCCCTCCACAATGCTCACCACATCCATAAAATGTGGGTCTCCCCCACCCAATCCCTGGAGAACACTACCACCATTTGAGCACCATAGTTTAAATCAGTCAGTACCAATTTGATGGAGAGTACATGTGGAGCCCATTCTTCCGATCTTGTGTCACCTCACTTCGGATAATGGGCTTAAGCTCAATCCAGGATAATATAAGCGGTGCTAGCTCACTGTCACTTCTTAGAATTGAGTAATATTCCATTGTAAACATATACAAAATTTTAATTATCCACTCATGAATTGATAGGCACTTGGGTTGTTTCCATGTCCTTGCAATAGTGAATTGTGCTGCCATAAACATTCGGTTGCAGATATCTTTATAATAGAATGTCTTATGCTCTTTTGGGTAGATGCTTAATAGTGCTATTGCTGGATCAAATGGTATTTCTATTTTTAGCTCTTTGAGGTATCTCCAAATTCTTTTCCACAGAGGTTTCAATAATTCACAGTCCCATCAACAGTGTAAGAATGTTCCTGTCTCTCCACATCCTTACCAGCATTTGTCGTTTTGAGATTTCTTGATACAGGCCATTCTCACTGGGGTTAGGTGGTATCTCATTGTGGTTTTGATTTGCATTTCTCTAATGATTAGAGATGTCGAGCATTGTTTATACGTTTGCAGGCCATTATTCTGTCTTCTTTGGAGAAGTTTCTGTTTATTTCTGTTGCCCTTTTCTTGATGGGGTTGTTTGATTTTTTTCTTGTTAATTCTTTTGAGTTCTAGATTCTTGTTATTAGACCTTTATCAGAAGTGTAGAGAGAAAATATTTTTTTCCCATTCTGTGGGTTGTCTATTTGCTGTAATGATAGTTTCCTTGATGCTGAGGTGATTTCCTTGGAGGTCTTCCTCAAGAATCCTTTGCCTAGGCCAACATCTGATAGGCTTTTCCCAACATCTTCTCTAGGAGTCTTAAGGTTTCATGCCTTAGGATTAAATCTGTTATTCATCTTGAGTGAATTTTTTGTGAGAGGTGAGAGGTAGGGATCCTGATTCAATCTTCTGCATGTAGCTATCCAGTTTTCTCAGCACCATTTGTTGAAGAAAGGTTCTTTCCACCATTGTATATTTTTGTCTGCTTTATCAAGATTAGGTTACCATATGCAGATGATTTCATTTCTGGAATCTCAGTTCTATTTCAAATATCAATGCTTCTGTTCTTGTGGCAATCCCAGGTTGATTTAACTATTATTGCTTTATAGTACAGCTTGAAGTCCTTTATCATTTCTAATAAATTTTTGGTGGAGTCTATCAACCTAAAATAATTAAAATAATCAGAACCTATTTAAAGAGAGTTTATTCAAGTGCAAAATTTGAGAATGGGCTGCTCAGAAAGCACAAATTCCAAGGAATGGAAGTCAGTGTTCTAAAATATAGAAGTTTTGGATCATTTATGTAGACAAAGTTTAGACAAACTTAACAGAATTTCAACATCTTTCTATGTCAGGCTAAATGCATAGTTACAACTATCTGATTAGTTGAAGTAGTCTATTTCTTTTGGGAAAGGTATAGTTAGCCTTCCAAACTGAAGATGTAATAGTCATGGGATCTTGGATGCCATCTGTTCTGAGTTAGGAATAGGACAATAAAAGAGGGCATTAATCTATAACAAAGATTGGCCATTAGAAGGGGGAGAGGTTTTGTCTCTGGTCTCTCCTAGTTATTTCCAGAACAAGAATGAGGAAGAGAGTTAATCTATAATCTAAGGAGCAGAATTGCAAATATGCTACATGACCTAGTTTCTAAGGTTTAATTTCTCCCTTGGCATAATAAATTTAGAGGGTTCAGAAACTTTATTTTCTTTTACAAGTCTTCAGGATTTTCCATATATAAGATCGTATCCTCATCCGGGCACGGTGGCTCACGCCTGTAATCCTAGCTCTCTGGGAGGCCCAGGTGGGTGGATCGTTTGAGCTTAGGAGTTTGAAACCAACCTGAGCAAGAGAGAGACCCCATCTCTACTATAAATAGAAAGAAATTAATTGGCCAACTAATACATATATAGAAAAAATTAGCTGGGCATGGTGGCAAATGCCTGTAGTCCCAGCTACTCAGAAGGCTGAGGCAGAAGGATCGCTTGAGCCCAGGAGTTTGAGGTTGCTGTGAGCCAGGCTGACACCATGACACTCACTCTAGCCTGGGCAACAAAGTGAGACTCTGTCTCAAAAAATAGATAAATAAATAAGATCGTATCCTCAGCAAACAGACAATTTCCCTTTTTCCATTCCTATTTGATGCCTTTTTTAAATTGTCTAATTACTCTTTCTCAGACTTCCAGTACTATGTCAACAGAAGCATTGAGAGTGAGAACCCTTGTCTTGCTAATGATCTTAGAGGAAAAGCTTTTAGAATTTCACTGATGAGCATGATGTTAGCTGTGGGTGTCATCTATGAACTTTGCTGTGTTTAAGGAACATTGCTTCTATGCCTATTTTGTTGAGAGTGTTTATTGTGAAAGGATGTTGAATTTTGTCCAGTTCTTTTTCTGCATCTATTGAGGTGATCATATGGCTTTTGTCCTTCATTCTGTTAATATGGTGAATCATGTTTATTGATTTGCATCCTTATGTCCCAGGGAAAAATCCCACTTGATCATAGTGAGTAACTCTTTAAATGCCAAGCTTAAATTTAAAATTTATTATTTCACTTTTTCATCTTGAAAAATACTTATTTAAAAAATATATTAAGGAGCTAGTCATATTAACTGCTTAATTAATACTATTAGACAAAGACAGGCAAACCATATACTAATTGAAAATATCTTGTTTCGTTTTTTTAAAAAAAGTGTAGTGAAGCCTAGTATTCCAGTCAGAAATGGCAGTGCATGCTAATAATATGATTTCTGAAATAATAGCTGAAACTTCACTTACCCCAATGCAATTACTACCACAAGAAATAAATCTTTAAGTGATTAAGATTTAATAAAATAATGCATCTACCCAATTTTAGAAATTTAACTTAATAATGACTGAAGATTTATTTCTAAAATAA